CAGACAGGCAGACAGGCAGATAGATAGATAGATAGATAGATAGATAGATAGATAGATAGATAGATAGATAGATAGACAGACAGACAGACAGACAGACAGACAGACAGACAGACAGACAGAGACAGACAGACAGACAGATAGGCAGACAGATAGATAGATAGATAGATAGATAGATAGATAGATAGATAGATAGATAGATAGATAGATAGATAGATAGATAGATAGATAGATAGATAGATAGATAGATAGATAGATAGATAGATAGATAGATTCAAAACAGTTCCAAACTAATAATGCATATCATCGAGCTGGCTGCAAACTGAGCAGGCATATTGTGTCTGTCCATGCCCAGGTTTATGCCAGTTTCTCTGGATGTCTGCCAGGCACACACACACACACACACACCCTGTGGATTGGCCAGGAAGATGAGGCACCAGACACAAGCCCCGCTGCAGATGAGCAGCCCCACGGCCAGCACCACCCGGTCCTCCAGCACACGGCTCAGCCAGCGCACCAGGAAGAAACCCGCGATTACCTCCAGCCCACACAGGCTGTACATCACACTGTTCCCCAGCTCACCCAAGCCAAAGTACTTCTGCGTCAGGGGGGTCACCATGGTCTGGGGACGAGAGCAGGACATCAACCACTCACAACACCCTAGCAACCACATAGCAACACGCTTATAGGGACAGTTCACCCAAAAATGAAAATTAGCCCATGATTTACTCACCCTCAAGTCATCCTAGGTGTATATGACTTTCTTCTTTCAGAGTTATATTAAAAAATGTCCTGGCTCTGCCAAACTTTATAATGGTTTGTGTAAGAAAAAATATTAATATTTAACACGTTACAAAGTAAAATTTTAACTTCCGGGCAAAGGAACATACACAGTCTTGTGTACTTGTGACGTCAGAGGTAGTGTAGTGCGTCATGGCCTAGCATTACTCGCATAAGTTGCGCTTTAGACTTAAGTGGAATCCATATGTTCGTTTGGCTGAAAGCTAGTTATTTTACTTTATAAAGATTTAAAGATGGATATTTTTCAGACACAAACGCATCACTTCGCTTCAGAAGGCCTTTATTAACTCCCCGAAGCCTGTGGAGCACTTTTATCATGGATGGATGCACTTTTATGGACTTCAAAACAGAAACAGCCATTCACTGCCATTATAAAGCTTGGAAGAGCCAGGACATTTTTTTAAATATAACTCAGATTGTATTCGTCTGAAAGAAGAATGTCATAAACACCTAGGATGATTTGAGGGTGAGGAAATCATGGGCTAATTTTCATTTTTGGGTGAACTATCCCTTTAAAGCAACTCAGAACTAATAGCAAGTCTTAAATGTTCTTCAGGCAATGTAAAGTAAATGTAAAAATTATAATGCATCCAGCATGTACTTTTTCATAGAGAAATTTGATTTAATGTGAAAGAACAAACCTAGGCATGATATATCTGAGAGGGGAAAATCTAATGAAAAGGAACATCCTAAACTTTATTATTGGTTTGTCATGTATCTAGGTCAGGCAACCGGGAATGTAAATGTGTGTCAATTTCAAATACCCGATTGTATTAAATCAAAGCTTAGATTAGATTGCATTAAATTCAATTTAGATGGTCCTACTACTGTGAGCCTTAATCAATCATAATTGGGCAGACATTATTTAGTGGCTCAGATGAATTTAGGACAGTGTGGGGGGTCTGGTGACTGGTTTTCAGAAGCACATTTTGATTGCAACTTCCAAAATAGCACCATAATAATATGTTTTAATGATACGGCATGTTTTTATGAAATCATACGCTTCATATTTCAGCTTTTAAAAACTCCAAAATATTGACCCCATTCAGTTACACTGCGAGAGCCTCAATTTTTAGCACATAAGCAAGTTTTAACATTTGATGGTGATAGCATTTTACTAACTTTTACCATATTTTACCACATTGCTAACATGTTTTAGAATGTTGCACATTTTGTTAACACAGTGATAGTATTGGTTTACAATTGCTAGCACATTTCTAGCATATTTTAACATGTTGCTAAAAAATTGCTACATTTAGCGAGAACTGTATTCTAGTATGACGTTTGCATGCTGCTAACATGCTTTAGTATGTTGCTAGCTAGTTTTAAACCATAGATACATAGATTCCTTATTAGCAGCCGTTTCAACGGTCCGCCATATTGGAACGGTCCATGAACATTTGAGAGCAAATTGACTGAGCGTCTGCAACCGCAGACGCATGTATGAATATCTATATGTGAAATAGACTCCAGCAGATGATTTTCTAAACTAACACAATACAACAAGACAAAGGCGTCAGCTGACACAACATTAAAAGTACCATAGTAAAAAAAAAACATATATTGAGTTCACGTGTTGCTAGCATTTTCCCAACACACTTTAGCACATTGCTAGCATGTTTTTACACCTTGCAAGCATGTTTTAGCATCCTTCTAACATGTTTTAACATGTTGCTAGCACATCGCTAACATGTTTTAAGATGTTGTTTAGTATGTTTTAGCGTACATTGCTAACACGTCCTAGGTATAGGCCTTGCTAATGCTTCCGTTTGGTGGTCATAAATTGGAAGCTTTGGAAAATGTTGGTCTTAAATGGGTCCAAATGTGCTTCATAAACCAATCATAAACTAATTACTTAATATAATTTACCTTAAACCTGATTTTCCTCCTCCTCCACAAACTGGTTTTCACTCATGTGAGTGTGTGTCGGGTCGGGCCGTGAGTGTGTGTCGGGTCGAGCCGTGAGTGTGTGTCGGGTCGGGCCGTGAGTGTGTGTCGGGTCCCGACCCTAACATTCACAATATATTATGAATGTTTCTTTTCTCTTGTCTTTTAGGTTTTGACAGCAACTTCTCTCCAGTCTCCAGTTCTGTTGTAGCTCTGGCCTTCGGATTACCCTCCGCGTTACACTAAACACATTTGGCCGACATGTTTAATCCCGAGCCGTTTATGACGTCTGACACATATTTTGTCAAATAGGATTTGAGAAATGTTATTCTCTGATGTTGCCGTGGCCACAACCTGCTGGATCCGAATGACATTTTCAAATGAAGAGGGAGAAGCTGTGCCGAGGTGGGCACGTAAGCCTCTTGAACGCAAATGCCAACCCACTGGGCAACCCATTATTCTGATGCCGAACATCTCTTGGATAAAAGATGGCATTAATTAAAAAAAAAAAAAAAAAAAAAGCGCTTGTTTTTCCTCTGTCATTTACGTCATTATGTTCTGATGTCCAAGTAATGTGTCTCATTAACATCAAAATATGATGCTTTCTAGATGGCGTGACCGGTATTGTGAAGGACAGTCGCTAATAAACAATTTACAAACGGTAAAGCTATCAGGAGATACATTTTCCCAACAGAGCTGGGCGTCTATCAGAATGATGTCTGACAGATTGATGACAGTGTCACAATCGCTCTGTCTCTCCCTGCTTATCACCGCTACAGATGTGAACGCGTATGAGGGATTGGGATTATAATCTTCTTTCACACAGAGCTACTGCGGGATTATGAGATCATCTGGATTGAGGGGTGAACGGTTAAATGCTAATTCTCTGACGCTCTGCACATATGATTGGAATGGACTTTTTTCTCATCTTGCCGGGTTTGGTTTAATGTTATCGCAGAAAAATGCACTATTAAAGGGATAGTAAACCCCAAAATGAAAACTCTGTCATCATTCACTCACCCTCGTGTCGTTCCAAACCTGCATGCGTTTCTTTCTTCTGGGAAACATGCAAAAAATATCTATTTTGAAGAATGTTGGTAACCAAACCATTTTGGTTCCCATTGACTTATATTGACAAGAACCGAAACAGTTTGGTTTACCAACATTCTTCAAAAATAGATATTTTTTTGTGTGTTTCGCAGATGAAAGAAATGCGTACAGGTTTGGAAAGGCATGAGGGTGAGTGAATGATGACAGAATTTTCATTTTGGGGTAAACTATCCTTTTAAATTTACACTTTAAATAATAAAAACACCCTCAGCATTGACTTGTTTACTAGATTAATGACACTGTATTACAACACAAAGTACAATGATAGCTATAATAAATAATGTCCATTAAGGGAGACTTTTTTTTTATAGGTTCACCCCGCTAAATTACAGATGGAATACATTTATGAACTCTGTAAAAAAAGGTCTGCCATAGCCACAATCCAAAATCGTAATGAAATATTTAGAGTACATAAATAAAATATCAGCGATAATGTATATTTATAATATTGTAACAGAACAGCATTTTGAACACACAGCATTTTGAACACGTTACAATACATAGAAAAAACAGGACACCACCAACAATATAAGGACACCACAGCAAAAGCAGAACTATTGAATGACAGAATGGCACAATAATGCTGGTGTTGGATTCATTCATTTTAAGCTTCTATACTTGATTAACCCAGATTTTAATGAGTTTACAGTAATAATATTTCAAAACAATGTACAAAGAGCAGATTATATGCACCAGAGGACACATTAATATTCCATTTCCCTCTTAAGATGGGTAAATATCCTAAGAAATGACCAATGATCTGTGCAGAATAACTACATAAATCATTTGTTTTTAAGAAACTTAGTTTTTGTTCCCTTTATCACCCTGCGCTCTCTCTCTCTCTCTCTCTCTCTCTCTCTCTCTCTCTCTCTCTCTCTCTCTCTCTCTCTCTCTCTCTCTCTCTCTCTCTCTCTCTCTCTCTCTCTCTCTCTCTCACACACATTATCATGCATAGAGAGCCTTGCAGTTCTGTCTGTCCTATGTCAATCTCTTTAAGGGACAACAGCGCCATCAAGTGTTCATTCACTTAAAATATTCACTCCTCCACATCAGCAAATCAGGAGATCCTCAAATCATACAAGATATGTACATTAAAAGAGTCAGTAACTAAATCCACTATGCGAAATGAAACAGAATGGATGAGGACTAAAATAAAATAAAAATTACAGAATATAAAAATCTGCAGCATAAAACCAAATTGTGTGTGTGTGTGCCCATGTGTGTGCCCTTCTTGCTGTTCTCGGTCTGCTAGCCCTGGCAGGGCCTCTTATCTCCCACTGTTCCAGCATCTGCTCTGTACAGGCCCACACGAGCGCTAAACTTTGGCAGACAGACCACAGAGAGAGGGGCTCTTCCTCTGTGCTGAAATATGAAAATCACACAGAGAGATTCATTTACCAATGACAGCTTTTTGTCATACAGTAGAGAGTGCGATTTTGTGTAATAATGTTGCTTGTCGCAAGCGGATTATAGCATTTTTGTTATTCAGTGGCCCACTTTCTTACTTTTCGTTTTCAGTTCTGAGATGTGTCTATATTGCAGTTTAGAGCTGCATGGCTGGAGTCTGTATCAGTTTAACTCAGTTAGTGAAGACAAAATAAAAGTTATGAGTGGAATTTTAGCCAGTCACAACAATATGCCATCCAGATTGTACAGAGTGAAAAAGCAAATTAACACAATGAGTTTTTTTCTCTTTAAAAATAAAAATGTGCAATGTCAATATTTGTGTATCGTCATGAAATGCAAAACGTCAATTTATTTCCCATGTTAAAATACATTTTCCCATGTGAAAAATGAAGTACACTTTAGCATACATTTAGTAGTTAGGGTGATCCCCCAACCCCTTACAGTATTTTAAAATCGCTTACACACTAAAAGTGGAACTTAAGGCTCACTCAGTGAAACCATTCACTCATGTAGCCTACCTACAGGAATCTTTAGACCAAGTCTGCAAAACTACAAGCACATTACGTGCTTTAAACTCAGTTTGCTATTGTAAAACAAACTACTAATTTGCCAATGATCCCAATGATCATGTGTGAAAAGACTTATACACAAATTGATCACTTAGAAATCAAAACTAAGTGTTTTGAGAAAGAAAGAAATAATTTTTACCCCCTTGCATTTCTGTTTATAGTGTAAATATATATATATTTACATATATATGTATATACAGTATATATATATATATGTGTTTACAGTACATATGTGTGTATATGTATGTATGTATGTATGTATGATATATCATATATGCATAAATGAGAAGAAGGTGTATATATATATATATATATATATATATATAGAGAGAGAGAGAGAGAGAGAGAGAGAGAGAGAGAGAGAGAGAGAGAGAGAGAGAGAGAGAGAGAGAGAGAGAGAGAGAGAGAGAGAGAGAGAGAAAGAGAGAGAGAGAGAGAGAGAGATATTTACACACACACATACATATATATATACTATCTGTTCTTTTTCAACCAGTTATTTTTTCAGTTTCATTTGGTCATGTTGCTGAAACAAAAATTACACACTTCCCCAATGAACAAGTTAAAGTCCACTGTCTCACCTGTATCCCGTAAAGCGAAAGGTGGTGTCTATCCTCCATTCTCTGAGTCCTGAGCATTCTCCACCCTGGGCGGCTCCACCAGCTTCTCGTAGGACAACGCCATCATGATCTGCCCAGGATAAGTCACCGAACGTTGGACTCAGTGTTAAAGGTCAAACAAAATTTGAGCCAAAACAAAAGGTACAATATTTGTCCCTCATTACCATATATATAAACAATGACTTCACATTGAAGATCAGACACCAACTTTTGTTTGTTGAC